GTTCAGTTACCTGAGTCCACTCCTATCACTAAAATCAGGAGATGCCTGATTCTGTCTTGCATATCTGGGGGACAGTTTCTACCCCAAAAGCTGAAGCAAGTCTTATCATCATCATACATGGAGGGGACAGAGTGTGGGACCCAGCTTTGTTTGAGGAGATGTCTATATGTACATGATCTTGGAGCCCAGGCACTTTATAACCGTGACATCAATTTAGACAAGGAAAAATATAAATTTGACTGTCTACATATCAAAACAAAGAATTCTGTATATGTCAAAAAACATTAGGGCGGGTGTGGTGGCTCACACCTGTAATCCCAGCACTCTGGGAGGCCGAGGTGGGAGGATTGCTTGAGGTCAGATGTTCAAGACCAGCCTGAGCAAGAGCAAGACCCCATCTCTACCCAAAATAGAAAAAATTAGCTGGGCATGGTGGTACGCACCCATATTCCCAGCTACTCAGGAGGCTGAGGCAGGAGGATCACTAGAGCCCAAAAGTTTGAGGTTGCTGTGAGCTACGATGACGCCACTGCACTTTACCCAGGGCGATGGAGTGAGATTCTGTCTCAAAAAAAAGCATTAATAATACACAAGCAAAGTATTTTCAGGGACTTATCTTCAGAAAATTAATGATGCATTAAACAATTTAGCTACAAGCATGTCCACGAAGTTTTTTAAAAAATATTGCAAATAAGCGGTGGCAATGTAGCCAACAAGAGAATGAATAAATAAATGAACATATCCATGTAATAGAATAATAGGATACTGTTCAGTGATTAAAAATAATGGCTATTTCTTGCCATGGAAAGCTGTTTACCCATATACTGGGAAGTAAAAATGGCAGATTCCAAAACAGGATGGATGATTCCGGCCAATTGTGGTAATTAAAAAGAAAGTTCTCGCAGACGTGATCGAAGAAGATAGACCCAAGTTGTTAAAAGGGGATTTTCTTGGTCTTGGATGATTACAGATATTCTATTATCTTCTTTATTCTTACCTGCCTTCTCAAAAGTTTGCTCCATGAACTATCTTAACTTTATAATAAGGATAAGAAGATAAAAGTCATTAGAAAGGAGAATTTCGTCTGTCACTAGACCACTGCTGTCCGTTTTTATTAGGCGAAGAGCACAACGTGATGGGCTTTTTAACAAGTCTTAATAACCCGGGCTTTTCAGTGAGGATATTCGCTCTGATGCCTGGACATCTCCTGTCTCTGAAATTACAGGTTTCTCAGAGATCAAGGCGCCTTCTGCTGACTTGAACATTCCCTGCTGAGATGAGAGAGTGTCTAGCGGTGGCCAGCAGGGCACAGTCGTGCCTGAAATCTGCATTTCCTCCCATGAGACAGGACGCAGGCCAGGACCGGGTCTTAGCTACGAGTATGTTCCCAAGTTTCGGAGGGGTTCGGGGCAGAGAGGAGGCTTCCTATTTTGACCACAGAAGGAGCCCCGCTCAGGGAGGGGGTGAGAGTGATGCTAGGACAGGCAGGACCCGAACGAGGTTCTCGGGGTCCTGGTCCCGTGGAGCGTCTCTCACGGTGGCTTTCAGTTCTGGGGGCCTGGTTAGTCATGTCAGCTGAGGTGCAGTTACTGGAGCTGAGTCACGGGGCATGGTGAACAGATAGAGGTGGCGGGGGGAAGAGGCACAGAGAAAGAGAAAGAGGGAGCAGGAGGAGGAGGAGGACGAGGAGGAAGAAAAGAAAAAGGTACTAGAGATGCTAAAATGTCATTGGGAGATGCCTGATTCCTGTCTTGTGGGAGGAGGAGGAGGAGGCAGAGGAGGAAGTGGGGGCGGGGGAAGGGGCTCTCCTTGAGATAAAAATATGTCAAAGAGTTCCCAGAGTGAAGTTTCTTTTTCTTCCAATGCCTGTTCCCTGAAGAATCATTAAAAGAACAACGATAGCAACACAACTCGCAAGGTCATCGCATCTGCCTGAGATTTCTGGGGGGCCAAGTCTAGATTATTAGAAAACTGCCTCCCAGCCCGGCCCCGCTCACCCTCTGCACACACAGCCCCTCAGGGACAGCACTGCTCCGTGCACGGGATCAAAGCCTGCAATAATTATGGAGCCTCTTCTTCCCAAAGAGCTCCTGTGACAACTGACAATAGTGTGACTTGTCGGACTGTGGTCACCAGTAGGAAGGAATATGTCTGTGGGATGAGTCCGGCGGGAGGTGTGTGTGTGACACACACACACACACACGTGCACACGCACATGCGTTTACTTTGCTCCAAGGCCGGGAGAGGGATAAGCCCAGCCATTGTATTTGTAGATGCTAGAACTTTTAGGCATTCCGGCCGCAGAGAAACACAGCGGCTCTATTTACTGAGGGGTTCGCAAGACTGGACTCGGTTCCAGCGGCCCTCTGTGGCTCCTGGTCGCTCAGCTTCCATCCCCATCTCCTGGAAAGAACATCTGCATTTCTCTGGGTAACAGCCCCTCCCAGTCCTCAGCGTGGGACCCCGGGGTCCACAGTGGGCCCAGGCCCCAGGACTAGCCCACTGGCGTAACCTGTCCTCCCGCTGTTCTGTTTGGTTCAGAGATGTGTGTTCGGGTTGGCGCAGTGAGACCCAAACCTGGGCCTTGGGCTGGACGGTTAAAGGGCATCTCTTTCTGCTGGCAGATCAAGGACTGGTGTTGCTGGGGCCTGCTCCCTCCAGAGGCGTACAGATGTGGCTAGGGGTAAAGCTGAGCCCGGGGAGGGAAGAGCCAAGAGGTGGAGAGAGAACGTGGTCTGAAACGCACCACGCTGGAGGCCCCAGGCCCCACGGACTTTTCAATCAAGTGGGTGAGTCCATGCGTTTCCTGAGTTGGGTCCTGGTCACTTGTGACTGAGAGTCACACCTGGGATGATCAGACTTGCACAGAAACACGAGGATCTTCAGAACTTTCTCCCCACAAGTCTCCCCTCTGGTAACCCACAGGCTGCTTTCCCTGGCCTCCTCCTCCTCTCACTCGTGGCAGGATGGGAACCCTTGCTCCCAGGCCTAGTGACTGGGACTTAGATCTCCACGGCTCAGGTCCTGGCCTCGCTGTCCCTTAATGTCTTGGCTCTCCCTGTCAACTCCACCCACCAGGCTGGGGTTCTGTCCTTGACTCAGTTTCCCCGGAACTGGTCCCAGCAGCCACATCTGGAAACACCATCTTGGTGCCCATCAGTTGAGATGCCCTGAGCCGGGAGGCCCATGACTCAGACTCTAGCACAGCAGACCCGCCCCCGGGAATGTGGCCCACGGGCCAAGTGACGCGAGAATGGAAAAGGACGGGAGCTGGCTTATTCTGCCCGGAGGTCCTGAAGTGCCGGCCAGTCTGTTCCTGTTGCCTGGGGCCCGCGGATGCCCTGGTTCCTGTGCTATCTCAGGCTGGCTCTTCAGACCTTCCTCTACCCTGTAAATTATCCATAGACGCCTTCAATCTCCCCTTTGCCTAAGTCAGCCAGGGCTGGTCTTACTCGAACAACTCAGACTGACCCACCTCCGTCCTCTGTCTGTGCCACCTTAGTGGGACCTCTAGCTCTGGGTCCCAGACACCTCCACCGGCCCCTTGGGTGCCTGGCGGCATCGCAAGTCCTGACAGCAATGGCAAGAGTCCCAGGCTCAGCAAAATCAACTCCATTTTAATCCATTTTATTCCCCCCAGGAGCTGCCTGCTTCTACCTTTCACCTCCCATTGTAGAAACACAAAACGACAGCTAAGCTCCCCTGAAGACACCCTGAATTTGTCCAACTACCTTGCAGTCTGTTAAGCTACAGGTTTTCCCATGTATGTACCAGAGGAAAGCTTTCTCTTTGATGTTTAAATTGCATGTTTCCTTTGCCAGACACTGAGCAAGGAAAAAAAAGGAGAAAAGGAAAAAAAAATGAATATTTCAGATGTACATTATTATAGGATTTGGTATTATTTCGCACTTTTTTTCTAGTTCATCTGGCATTTTGGAAAGTTTAGTCGTAAAAAGAAATCTACTTTTGGGATTGGAAAATAACTAAATAACTTTCTCTTTTTCTCTACGGTAAAGTGGCTGACTCGGAGACTTGCCACATTTTCAGGTGTTTCAAATCAGGAAAATAAGACACATGTTTTATTATAAGTGTGTCTAATACTTGATTATTTGTACCTCATATGAAAAGATTAGATTTTGGAAGAGAAGGATTAAGAACGTTCTTTCGCAGAGACAGGCGTGCGTTTGGACCTGCATGCCGATTTAAGTTTATTACAAACGGCCACTGACAAGGGCATCTTGCGTTCACCAGCATTAGATGCACCCCAGGTAATGACCATTTAATTAAATCTCATTATGAAAATACCTTCTATCTGAGCACTGGGCAGAGCTTAAGAAATTAAGGTATAAACTTCTGATTTCTGAAGGCACTGTTTTTTTTGCCTGTCATTCATTAGGTGAACTCCCAACCCCATTGGTTCACTTCTAAGTGCCAGGTAATGTCTCTGCTCCTTCCCCTCTGCTGGCTCAGAGCCAACTAGTGTTCAGGAGCGGGAGGAGCAGGGACTTTGCAGATTGCTCTGTTTCCACCCTGACTCCTCTGCCACCAAGCTGGGCTGCTTTGAGCAGGTTATTGAACCTCTCTGAATTCGCAATACCTCTATCTGTAAATGGAGTCAGCCCACACTTTTGTCATAACGCTGTGGAAATGATAAAGTCGGTCAGGTTTCTGAGATGCAGGAGGCCACCCACAGTGGCTCCTTCTCTCTCCCTCTGGGGACTGCACTCGGTGCTGGCAGGCCTGGCTGGTCACTGGGAACACAGCCCCAAGCCACCTTCCTCCCAGGCTGGAGTCGGGTAGGGAGCACTGTCCACTGCAGAGAGCCTGGTCCCCTGGAGCCCTCAGCCACCAACTCTCCTTTATGATACCTCCCCCACTTGCTCAGACAGTGAACAAGTTTAACTTGATGGTATCTGCTCCTGACAACCAGCTTCTGCAACCGGAAAGGAGAAGCAATTCCTACCTGCCTCCCGCCTGCGGTTCCGGAGCCGATCGCCTACCTGATGGTTTGATGCTGCAGGGAATCGGGGTCCGTGGCGTTCACGGTCAGCAGCACGCTGCCCACGGAGATGTTCTCCCGCCTGGTCACCATCATGGGGTCTGGATAGAAGACTGGACCCTCGTTGACATCCAGAACGGTGATGTGGACGGTCGCTGTGGAGCTGGGGCCGTAGGAGACATCAGGTACCAGTGGGTCCTCGTTTTCCACTTTGATCAGCAGCGTGTGAAAGGCAGAAATCTCATAGTCTAGAGGCTGGAAAGCAGACAGGGCGGTTTAGAGTGTGCACGCGCCACCAAGGCAGACGGTTTTGCACAAAGTTCCTCTGACATTCCACGAGCAATGTGGAATAGACTAAGCCATATGGCATTTGGAGTCCTCTTTAAGAAAAAGAATATGAAACATGCAAATGAAAAATTAGGTATGGATGTTTCTCATGTTTTTTTTTTTTCGGATTGAGAAACAAGTGACAATACATGACTTGGACCTTAGTGATCCGGTTCTTCCCTCTGAGACCTCATTAGACAACGCACTGGCCACACTGACATTGAAAGTCTCCCCGCCTGTAACCTGTAACCCCACCCCCTCCGGTGCTCATGGGGGCTGGGAAATGAGAGGCCCTGAAGCCCAAGCTTCGCTGTCTTCATGGTACGATGACCCTGCTCCGTTAGAATGGGAGATCAAACAGAACAGGCAAACCGAGGTTACATTTTGAATGTTTCTCATTCACTTGCCGTGAAGTCTAAAGGGCCTCACATCACTTTAGAGTGTAATGTCTCCTGGCTCAGGTGTGAGGTAGGGAAAAGTCTCATGTAGCTGAGAGTCTAAGAACATGGGGTTAAGCTGCTGGCCCTTCCCCATCTGAGGGCATTTGAAAGTGTATGGGGGCATTTTCCATAGTCGCCATGACTTGGGGGCTCCACAGCCATTTACTGGGCAGGGGACAGAGATGCCGGACACTGCTCAGGACAGTCCCATACAATAGCAGATCGTCCTGCCCCAGTGCCGATGGCTAGCCCCGATGAGGGCCACTCTAGATGATTCTGCAAAGGGGGCTGACAGTACCCACCTCCCCCAGCCACTGTGTGGACTAAATCAGATGATGCCAAGGAAGCCCCATTACAAACATTATTGACATGGCGGTCCTGTCCATCGAGCGTTACTCTTTCCAAACCATGAGAGCCACGTGACGCAGTGAGGGTGATGTTTCCCAGAGCAGGGCTCCTGTCGCCGGGGTGCACAGCAAGACATTTAGGTAGGATGAGGGCAGATTTCTTATTTCCACAGTTACTAATTTTCCTAATGTTTACTAGGAAAAACAAGCAGCTAACTCATCCGACCCATGACATGATGAATACTCTTGAGAGGAGGGCAAGACGAAATGGGTCAAAGGATTTGATTTACACTCAACTAAAAGTAGGCAAACAATAGCTGTACAGGTTGCAACAGATACGGCAAGATGGGAGCAGAGGTGAGGATGGTGGAAACTGGGGAAGGAGCTACGCAGGTGCAGAGCTGGAAACGGAATCCAGCAGCTTGAGTCGGTGACTTGAGGCAAGTTACCTTTCATAATAATTACAGCTGACACGGATGTAGTGCTAAGCACTCCACACGTGGGGAAGTACACGTGTGTGCACGCACACGCACACACACACACAGGAAGTGCTTCCTGGTTGTAACTGGACTTCCTCGCTTCCCCTAGAGCAACTCCCAGCAGGGTTAGTATTAGGGTTAACAGATGCAAAGCTGTTGGTGCCTAGTAGTGGCCCAGTTACATTTTGGCTTTGCCCCTGTAACACGAGAATAATCTACCATTCCATCCTCCTTCCCGTGGATTCTAATAACGCATCTCTGCCCATCTCAAGTGATGCCTGAGATGTGCAACCTCAGTAAAGTAGATTTCAAACTTGGTTGAACTTTCCTTGCCAGGGAGCTGCCAGGCTTGGAACACACAGCCATTTGTCTTGATTAGGATATGGAAGGGGGCAGAAACCTTGGGCTTGCTGGGTCACGAGAGCACTGAGGGCCAGTCCCCTGCACAGGACTGAGACAAAGAGCGCCCCAGGCACCCGAGACCCACCTCCACCCCACGCTGGCACCAATCATAAGCTCAGCCTAGTGTGGTCCGGCATCCGAGTCCCAGGAGGCAGAGGCCTGTGCAAAGCAGGGAATGGTGGGGTTTCTGGGGAATTCAGCAATCTGGTGACAAGTGAGGTGGTCGCGATGCTTGGAGTAAGCAATTTGTGTCACTCAGCTCTTTCTCCTTAGCTGGGGGCCACTGGTTTTTACTTCCCAAGGAAACTGTTTCCTTCCCATGTCCCTTCCTCCTTCTTTCCTCTCTCTCCTCTTCCCTCCCCTCCTCCCTCCCTCCCTTCCTTCCTTCATCATCGTTTGCAGCAAAAATTCTTGCTCTTATGCCCATAAGCTCCCTGGGAGGCTGTGGACAGAGACCGTTTCTTTCACCAGCGATTACACGGCACCTAGCACAGGGCCAGGCCCACAGTGGGCTCTAAATCAATACCACTGAATGAATGAATGAATGAATGAGTGGATAACTACGATTCTTGTGCTTTTTTCTAGCACTAGTCTTAACAACACAATTATCTATTATTTTGATTATGCAAAAATCTAATATCATTGTATATTTTTATCTTTTAAAATTTACCCTACCGTTTTTTATTAAATAGAAAGACAGAGGAGTGAGGGATGAAGTCGCGGCCCTGCAGCCACTGTGGGGCCAGCAGGTCAGCGCCCCTCCCAGAGTCTCAGCTTTCTCCTCAATAACGTCCTAGTGCCGAGGAGTGTTGTAAAGATCAGGGAACACGATGGATGTGGAAGGCTCCCACCGAGCTGGGCCCAGTGTCAATACCAATACCGAGAAGCCGCTAAGGCGCTGAGGAAGCAGAATGTGGGATTGAAAGCGCCGGGAGAGCCATGGCCCCAGCGCCAGTTCTTTCGCTGTGTTCCAAGGCTGACACTCCCTGGAAGGCAAATAGGCTTCCCTGGAGGAATTGGGCCCTGAGCAATGCCACAGAGCGGGGAGTGGGGAGGGGTGGAGAGGGAGACAGAGAGAGAGAGAGCGAGCGAGCATGTGTGAGCACGCAAGTGTCACCAACACGAGGCTGGTCTTTGCAGGGAGCAGAGCCTCTCTAGTGTTTATTTCCATTTGCACAAGGTGGGGTTTAATAATCCCAGCTGTGGGATGTCCAGGGCCAGACCACCCAGAGCTGGTGAGACATGGGTCTCGGCCCCAGTCCCTTCCGTGGGTTGTACATTGGATTAAGATGCCCTCCATCATCTCAGCTCGCAACCTTATTAATGTGCTTTGTCTGTGGCTGGGCCTCTGTGTCAGGCACGGGAGGAAATTGAAAATGCTCTTGATGGAAGCTACAAAGATGCAATTCAATTAATATTTTTTCAAGTGTCAAGAGAGGATGTGGACCATTGTCCTGGAAAATTTAAAGGCTGGAAAAGCTGTCCCGTATGGGAAGAGTGGAGGATGGGGCATTTGTTAGCTGAAAGAGGGAAGATTTGGGCCAATCCAGTAGCAATTTTTAAGCTTGTGACAGGTTTGGGGAACAAGGGTGCTTTCGGGATGCTTCCTTCTTTGAGGACAGAAGAGAAAACAGACTTAAAAGACAGGGTTGATTATATTCAGCTGAAATAAGAACCTTTTGACAGTTTTGGAGTAGGTTTACAAAGCAACTAAGGGTGTTTACGACCTGAAGTTTTTAAAGATGGAACAGGTACTCATTTGCTAGAACCATTAGTATTCGGTCCTGTTGGGAGACAGGACTTTGCTAGCAACCAGCTCAGGCCTGAGACAGACTCCAGCTGGCCAGGGAAGTGCTTGGCTACTTGTGGCCGGCTGCCCAGCAGCCATTACCAGCCCCCTTTGCCCTTCCCCACTTCTTAGTATGGAGGCCAAAGGCCAGATTCAGACTTTCTCAGCTTTGCTTGAAGTTAAGGGTGAACATGTGTCATTGGCCAATGAGACATCATGAGAAATTGGCTGAGGGACCCTTGGAAAAGATATTTCCTTCCCTGATACGAGGAGAGGGGCACATGAGAGCACTTTCTCTCACTTGTCTGGCTGCCTCCTTGTTTCCTGCCTTGGAGTACAGCCATCGGAAGACACGATTTCCGGGGCTTTGGCAGCTATTTTATATCCAAGAGGCAAAAGCCAAAAGCATCTGAGGTGCCCTGTCCTGGCTCTCTGACACCTGGAACTGTCTGCCAATCTTAGACCGGCCTACCTTCATCTAGTCATAAAAATTCTTAAATTCTCTTTATTAGTGAAGCCACTATCAGTCTGGCATCCCGTTACTTGCAGCAGAAAGCATTCCTGACAGAGGCCCTGGGTGGCTGGCACCATGGACAGCACCAGAGAGCATGGCCGGCCTTCCCTCTAGAAGGCGGTCTGGGCTTTGCCTCACATGTGCTGAGAGGCAGGGAGAGCTCAAGCCCCTTACTATGGATTCATGTGGCCAAAGGGAGGGGGAGTCTGCACCCCAATTCTGAAGCAAAGGGAGTCCATTCACTAGCAAAACTGAAGCCCAGTGAGAGTCCCAGCCTCGGTGGGCGCCTCCTCCCCAGTGGTTTGCAGGGAGGGCAGATGTGCTCGTGGAAACACCTTCTCCTAAGGCCGCTCTGCTCTATAAGAGCTGTGCCTGGTGAACAACAGAACCACCTGGCACACCTCTCCTTCACATTCTGACCCAGCAGGTCTGGGGCGGGCCCAGGAATCGGCATCTTAGCTAGCATTCCAGGTAATCCTTATATATGCGAACATTTGAAAGCCACATCATTGTGGACCAACATGGGAATGTGGGGAGAGGAGAATGGCTTCTTCCTGCAAATCTAGTTTTGCTTTTATCTTACTTTCCTCGAGCTACAGCAAACACATGTCGGGGAGAACTGAGAACGAAGCTGCTCCAGGATTCACGATGGAGACATATATTTACCAAGTTTTATCTTCAAGCTGCAGGTTTGGAAAATTGCCTGACAGCTTTTATAGACTTAGGACTAGCCACAGAGGACAGCCGGGGCTGTGCTATTTTACAACTTTTACAGCTCCAGAGTGCAGCCATGGAGGCAGGAGGCCAGTTGTCAGGCCAGGAGTGCCTGACAACTTTGCCATTGCCTGTGCTATTGGGGAAGAGGACCTGGGGGGACCCAGAGGCTAAAAGGGGCGTGGCTTGAGAGAAATCCAGACCTCTTGTCCTTTAGAACAAGCTGGAAGCATCTCTGAGATCTGCCATTCTCCATGGCTCTGGGTCCTGCCCTGGGCGTTGGTGGGACTTTGTTGGTGCAGGTGTTTCTATATCGCTGTGGTAGGATGAATAATGACTCCCCAATATGTCCACGTCCCAGTCCCTGGAGCCTGGGAATATGTAACCTGACATGGCGGAAAGGACTTTGCCGATGTGACTGAGTTAGAGACCTTAAGAGAGGAGGCTATCCTGGATTAGCGGCAGGTCCAGTGGAATCACAGGGTCCAGACAAGAGGGCAGCGGGGAGGCCAAACGAGGAAGAAGGAGATGTGATGATGGGAGCAGAGGGCCAGAGTCAGAGAGGGGCTGGGAGCTGCCACGCTGTTGGCTTTGAAGGTGGAGGAAGGGGCTGCAAGCCAAGCAATGCAGGAAGCTTCAAGAAGCTGGAAAAAGCAAGGAAACGGATTTTTCCCTAGAGATCCCCGAAGGAACAGTCCTGCCGACACCTTGATTTTAGCCCAGCGAGATTCAGGTTAGACTTCTAACCTTCAGAATTAGGAGATAATAAATTCATGTTTTTTTCCCCCAGCCACTAAATCTGCATTAATTTGCTATAGCAGCCATGGGAAGCTGACGCAGGCTATAAGTGCCAGTCTGTGTTCCAAACGTATTACCTCTTGGCCCATGAAATCCTCACAACAACTGCTGTAGGCTGATGCTTTCGTCCCTCCAAATTCACGTGTTGAAATCATAACCCTCAATGTGAGGCCATTGGGAGGTGATTGATTAGGCGCAGGCCTCTTGAATAGGACTGGTGGCCCTATAAAAGAGAGTCCAGAGAGCTGCCTTGCCCCCTCCACCATGTGGGGATAGAGTGAGAAGGTGGACATCTGTGAAAAAGCAAGCCCTCGCCAGACAGTGAATCTGCTGGCACCTTGACCTTGGACTTCCCGACCTCCAGAACTGTGAGCAACGAATGTCTATTGTCTATCAGCCACCCGGGCTATAGTACTCTGTTATATTAATAACACGTTGTTGTAATGGATTACGACAACAACCCTAAGAGGTATGTTATACTATCATTCTCATTTTACAGATGAAGAAACTGAGGCACAGAAAACATAGTCAGGGATCTTGGCCAAGGGCACACAGGGAGTAGGCAGCAATCTTCCCGCTCTGCCCACTGCTACTATTAGTAGAAATAATAGGGCTCCCTGCTTTTGAGGCAAATGGCTTCATGAACTAGAAGAGGAAATGTGTTCCAATGGTCTGGTCTTGGGCAGAAACTCTCCCCAGAAACTCTCCCCAGACGGTATGGGACTGTGTCAGATGCCTTCCCCCTGGACACCAGGACCACCTGGATCACCCCTTCTGTGCCACCATCCTCCCACCTGATATATTTGAATTAGCACAAGCTTTACATTTATGGTCACATTTCTACCTCATTCCACTCACAGCCAGAGAGAGGGTCAATGTGTCTGCTAGCAAGGCTCACAGAGGGTTTCCCACCAATAATTATTTTGTGTGGGTTTTGTAGAGAGTAATTGAGAGTCTGCTAAGAAAGATTAAGAAGGAATGTAATAGTCCACATTCTGAGCACAGATCTTAAAAAAAAAAATCCCATTTTGGTAGATCTTTTGACAATTGATTAGCAGATGTATGAAGAATGTCACTTAAAACTTAAGTTTGGTTTTCTTGAAGTTACAAATAAATCTGAGATTTGTAGAATCTGTAAAACAGGTTCACTTTAGGCTGCTGGTTTATGCTGCTGAGGGTGTGAGTGCACCCGTAAGCCCTGAGCCTTTTCCTTTGTTAATTCTCAAAGGAAGAGAATAGGAGAATTTTTCGAGGACCTTCTAAACTCAGTGACTCCAGGACCCCCCGCACGGAGCCCTCAGCGCCCATACGAGCGGAAAGGAGCCGGGGAAGCGCCCTTACTTTGACAACGGAAAGCATCCCCTCGTTGGTTTGAGGGTTGGTGTGGATCTCGAAGCTCTGCCCTGGGTTTCCGTTGATGATGGTGTAGGCAGCCCTCCATGCACCTGTGGTGGGGTCGTCCTTGTCTTCGACCGTCAAATTGACAATAACTCCCACGGCTCCTTCCTCCACTGTGGCTTGAAACTGCAAAGCAAGCAGACGGTAACTGTCACTCTTTTGAAAAACCATAGCAAAGGCCGTTTACTACATGCTTTGCATTGGAGACATTACACGCATTGTCTTACTTAATAATGAATAATAACATAGGAGGATTATGGCCTGGAAGATGCTACACTGCACCTCTCAGCTTTCCTTGAACTTAGATGGGTCTGAGAGACTAGTTTCTCTCCTACAGAACGTGGGCAGGAATGACATTCGCTGGGCTGGGCTGGGCTGGGCTGCATGGGGGTGGGTGAGTTTGGAGAAGTGTGCCTCCTCTCTGTCCTCCTTCACCCCCTGCCTACCAGAATGCCAAGTACCACAAGACTGGAGGGCAGCGGGGAGCCACAAGGCAGAAGAAGCTTGGGTGTCTGAGTCACTACATGCAGGGGAGCAGCCTGGTGGCTGAGAACACCTGTCCTGAACTACAATTGAGTGGGAAACAAACTTCAATTGCATTCAAGCCATTTTTGTTTGCATTAGTTCTTGCAGCTTCGCCTCCCCTAAACAGCAAGATGACCAGACGAGCGGGGCGCTACGACTCGTAGGCGGGGGGACTGGGATCTGAAGTGCAGTGTTTGGCCCCAGAGCCCCTCTAGATCCTGCCATCTTCTCTAATGGAGAAAACCAATCCCATCCTTCCCACCCCTTGTCCTAATATGACCTTAAAAATCACTTTCTAAGGAATCACATTAATCAATTGTTTGGAGCCTTGTTGTACCTGTGTTTTTATTGTAATACATCTTAAATACTTGTTGAAAGTAGGTGTGGTGAAAATAAATCAATACATGAAAAATCATTTTCCCCATAGATAGAGAATTTCATGAGTTATCATTAGCACATTCCTTTGAGCTGGAAGCATAAAGTATTGTTTTGGCGCTCACCTCTGACACACTACAGGTGAACAGTAATCTGTTTGCAAATATTTTATAAACAAGTAATACCAATAAGCTGACAAGAAGAAGAAATATCTTGGAATTTTGATTAGTAGGAAAGTCAATCTGGAGACAGTAAGATGATGTCAAAAAGCCCTCGTGTTCAAAGAGAAGTAATTTGAGAAATGAGGATTCAAAATCAGTGGCTGATTAATTGACTTGCAAATCATTAATCATAAGCCTTAATCCTGGTGGCTTGCAGGGGATGGGGTGGGGACAGGAGCTAATTTGTCTCCTGCACCTCGGCAAACACGGGTGAGTTGTTTGCTTTTCATAAAAGAGGTGCTGGAAAAGTCTTAGAAGACGCACGGAAGATGGAAAACAGCTGGAATGAGGAAGGATGTTGAGGATGCTGTCACCTGGAAACAGCTCCAGGGGGCAATTTAAATAAGGTCTACTGCTCCTATCTCTGATCTTTCCCTCTTCTCACAAAAATCATAGAATTTTCGAGCTGGAAAACTAGACCAGTGGTTCTCAGCCTTGTCTGCACATTAGAATCTCCCAGGGGGCTTTGAAAAAAAAAACCCTGAGTCTTATCTGCTGCTACTGAGGCCTAGGATTCAATATTTTCTTAACCTGCCGGGATAATTCTGATATGCAGTCTGGGGTGAGAATCGGATGGACTGCAAGTCTGAGGACGGCAGGTGGGTGTCAGCAAGGGTGAGGCGGCCTGAGCCGGGGGCCCAGGGGCCTGCGGTGTATCTGGGTTCAACAGCAAGGAGTTCTGTCACCAGCGGTCTGTTGCATGTCCAGGAGGGAGCCATGGGGACACGTGCTATCTAATCCTTGCAGATTACAGAAGAAGACGACTGCACAGAGAACAAAGGAAGGAAGGGTCTTGTCCAAAATTGTTTAGTGACCAAAGCTCAGACTCAAAAATCACTGGATCCCAGTGATCTCTGCTCCCAACCAGTTCTGCTACTTGTGCCGACCTCAGATGCCCTTTGTTTAGGCCAATCCTTCGCCCCTGCTGTGATCTAGAGCCAGAGGGCTGGTTGTCTGTCCCTACTGATCACTGCAGAAATCAGCTCGTAACCTGTCCTTGTGGCTCTTCTGACACCTGTACCTCAGGAAACCAGGTAGTCAATTTCGTGGGCATGGAGTGTGCTAAGACTAGAGGATGCTGGGAGCCACCCATTGAGTGGAAATGCAGTTATGTCCAGTACATAAGGGAGAAGGTGCTTTGTCAAAGCAGACAAGCGCCACATTGCCAAGATGAAAACCCTATGATAAATCATGATTTGAGGAAGCTGCAGGCGCTACGTGCATCTGCCTTGTTCATGACTTTATCTCCAGCCCCCTGAGTGTTGCTAGGGGCATAGAAGGGACTCAGTAGAAATTTGTTGAATGAACAAATGGGTCTTAAATATAGGAAGTGGGATCTGACAGCAGAGGGGAAAGCTGGGGAAGAATGTGACGGGATAAAGTCGTACAGGAGCAAGACCCGAGGGACGGACGCGTTGACTGGTGCCTGATTCCGCCACTTGCCTGGGTGCACAGGAGGGCAGGGATGGGCTGATCTCCCTTGTGCTCCAGCGGAGCTGCACTGTGACATTTTCGATCCTAGGCATTTTTGCCTTTATTGGCCCATCCTACCATAATAGATTTTTATAGTCTTTAAAAATTTTATTTTTATGATGCGAGGAAAAAAATTAAAAATTTCTCTTACTCTAAAAGTTCTTTTTTTTTTCCTCTTTCTGATTTTAGGGTCCTAACACTGTGCCAATGGTGCCTGATGGATAAGTCAGCCCTGATCCTCAGTACATAGCATCACGTCCAACACATAACCAGATCTAAAGATCTGGTGGATGGATGGATGAGTGGATGGATGAATCAATAAAATTAATATTTAAGCTATGTCTAAGTGAGACAAGCCTATGGAGCTTCTCTCATGACACTGAAATTTTCATGTCTACACAACCTACCAAAGGGGCTGGCATAGAATACCTTTTTAGTGTATGACCAATGAATCCAAGTAGAATGGGAAGGTGGTGATGTTCTAGGAATTCTCAAAAGTACGTATTGTGGCCTCATGTGTCCTTAGATGTAGCAGTGGGTCCACAGCCACATTTACCTGCTATCCGTCTATCCATCCATCCATCTATCTACCCATCCATCCATCCCTCCATCCGTTTATCCATCCATCCATCAAGGATACACTAGTAAACAAAACAGACATGGTATATTTTCTCATGGAAATTCCAGGCTAGAAGGAGAGGCAGATATAAGATAAATGTATAATTATAAAAATGTGTTACCTGCTAGCACAGAAATCACATAGTTCTTGGGGAGTCTGTAGCAGTGCGTGTGTGTGGTGGGGGGGTGGCTACCTGACTCAGTCCGGAGAGGATCATCAGGGAGAAATGCCCTGAGGAGCCCCGAGGACTGACAGAAGAAGAAGCACTGCAAGGTGAAGAAGGAAGTGCACTCCCGGCACCTGAAGAGCAGCGACAAAGGCCAGGTGGCACAAGTAGGCACAGGTGATGTGAGGAACCAAAGGAAGCTGGGTGTGGCGGGAACGCAGGCGGGGCAGGGAGAACTGTTTGATACTGGACTCCAGAGGGGGACAGAGGCAGACTGTGCAAGGCTTGCGGGCCATGGAAAGGCATTTGGAATTTATTTTGAAAGCAAAATGGAGTCTAATCAAGGAACCAGGTTATGTTTAAATCTACTCCTGAGAGAATTCAGAAAAAAAAAAATCTTTAAATATAGAAAACATTCAACGCAATTATTATAGTAATTGTTAAGACCATTATCTGTCCTGCATAAACTATAAAGCTGGTTTCTTTGAGCATCCATTTAGAAACTCATTATTGCTTAATTAAATACTCATTTTATTAATTCTATTCAATGTTTTAACCCCATTATGTAATTCAAGAATGGAAAATTAAATAGATTAAAATGAAATAGTACCATCTTACATTTCTATAGCAATGCTCACTTTGTGATTTAAAAACAATAGACAGACATTAATTTACCACACCAGCGCAGGGAGAATTATTGATTGTACCATTACTTCCTTTAATGGAAAAAAAATAGATAAAGTTACTTTCCTGTTAAACTGTGTGCCATCAGATACCAGCTGTAAGATGTACGTTTACACAGCCATGTGGGGCATTGGCTTGTCGGGATGACATTAGCTTGTTAGCTCTTTCCTGCAAATTCAGGACTGAGTTATTTCGTTGTCCTTTTTCTGATAAGGTGGGCTGAGATACATGGTGGCATTTAGGATGAGGCTGACTGGACTAGCCACAAAGGTCGTCATCAGGGAAAAGAGGAACTTGAATTTTCTATACACCAAGAACGTACGTCCTCCCTCACAGAGCAAAAGGTTGGTCTTCAGGTTAACCAGGGGGATGGAAACAATGATCGGCAGGCTGGAAAGCCACAGGAGGGGAAGAAGCGACAGCAATGATTCTAAGGGGCTGACGTATGTCAACTTACGTGCCTGACCTGACTGCTAGTCCAGGTTCATGAGCTGCCAAACCTGAAGTTTTACAGAGAACCGATGCTGAACTTGAAAAGCTGCGATGCAGTCATCTGGGCCTTGGTTTTGGAAAATTAAAAGATAAGGTCTCAGAAAGATTTATTAACTTAATTTTTATTTGTGGGGATAAAAAGGTAGGGGAGAGACCGTCAGGAATTTAACTTGCAAATTCTTTTATGAGTCTGTGTTTACATAAGGACACAGCGTATTGGAAGAATCTAAGCTCTTGCTGATATTCTAATGGGTAGAGACACTGATTGATATAAATAAGATAATGCATTTAAGAAGCTTGGCAACTTGCCTGGCACATGTATAGTGAGGGATCAATATTTGTTAGCAATGATAATGATGATGGATTTCGCTCTGTATTGTATGAAATTCTTACTAATAAATTGGAGAATATGGTTCAAACCCTTGGGACTCTTTCTGTTCTTATCACAGTCCACCTTATAATGTAGTTATTTGTGCATATACCTTATTTCCCTTGAGTTGTGTGGGAGAAACCTACTCCCAGTCTCTGCTGAAGAGAGTGCTACGAGGAGGCCATTCTGTATCAAGTTTCT